CCGCACCTGGGCGCTGTGCCCATCTTCGGAGGAGATGGAGGTGCCCCCACATCCGCGCCGCATATTGCTGCAGGGTGCCATCCTGCCAGGGCCGCGGGCCCCGAACGGGGGGTTGGCGAGGAAAGTGCTTGATGGCAAGATCGTGCACAGCGTCATGCAGAGTTACCAGTTCGGTTCCGGCCTGCGCTAAGCAGGACTGAAGCTCCTGGCGAAACACTCTGATGCGCTCATCGTCTTTACCTGACAGCGCGTCTGCGATGGCGTGCCGGTCAATCTGTACTGTGCGCTGCGGGGCAGTTGTGCGCTGCCACGGACACCAATGCCATGGTATGTACGCAAACACCGGGTAGTGCTTAGGACCTCCGCGCCACGCTCCTACCGGGTACTCATGCAAAGGACGGGCCATGCGTGAGGATCTATTTGCTAGGTCACACCTGATGAGGAGGAAGTCTATGTGGGATCTCTGAGAACCCCATGAGAAGGTGTGTGGAGACCCCGAATCACGAAATGTGTTGACAGCACATAGATCGAGACCGACCAGCAGCGCCTGGAAGTCTTCTTGGTCCATGGCCCAATTCGGCGGCGGAGGTAAGATGCCTGTACCCACATTCGGTTTGGCCGTGATGCACGGGGTGTTAAAATCACCGCCAATGATCATCACGCTCCTTTTCGGAACCGTCAGGATAAGTTTATGGAGCTGATCAAATGCCTGACTACGCAGTTTGCGGACATGATCAGTGCCCCGCCAGGTATGTTGATAGAACACAACAAGATCACAAGGAGTGGCTTTGTGGTGAAATTGGGCTCGCATCAGCCTACCCGGGAGAATCTCGGCATGTCGAAGGGAGCCCGGATTGATCAAGCGCTTAGCAATGATAATCATAACCCCACCCTGCTTGAAGTCTGGTGCCGAAGACCCACTGTGAATGAAGACATAACGATCTGTTTCCCAACTGCTGCTAAATCTCCACTTCGTTTCCTGAAGAAACATGACGTCGATGGGGTTGTGGTGAATGTGAACTAGTAATTCGTCATAGAACCCTCCCCCCAATCCGCCCACATTCCACGTCAGGACCTTCAGGTGTTGGTGCTTAGGCCGGGGATCTTCTTCCTGCACGGGGGGCATGCTGGACCGAGCTGTGGTGGGGCGGTGTGAGTGAGCGGTGGGTGGGTCAGGAGACCCCGAGGCTGGTGTAGTCTGTGCCAGGGCCCTGGCCGACCCAGTGTCGTACCAGCGGCCTTTGTACCAAGCTCCACCTGTTCGTATGATGCGTCGGTGAACTCTCTGTAGCGAACGCTTAACGATTCTCTGCTTCTGCAAGGACGGAAGTGGCGACCTGCAAATCGCAACCTGTGTTCCCAGAGGCTTCGCGGGTGCATGGCCTGAAGCTGCAGGAGACGTGTCCGCTCCCCCACTGACCTGGGAAGCCAGTGGAACCCTCGCGTCTGATGTAGAGACCGCTCCAGCTGCGTGTACATGTAAGAAGTACAGCCCTACACGAGCTAGTGATCTGCAAAAGGATGGGTCTCTACATCTCCCGGACTTGGGACCGGGAGAGCCCGACCATTGGGCGGGACGACGGCTCGCTGCCGTCAGCGGGCTGTGTGTGTATACGGGGGGGCGTGGGGAATGATCGGGGCATGGGTTGGGGGGGGTGTGAGATCCCCTAGTTGCCAATTCAGGGCAAACCATACCACACTCGAACGAATGCACTGGGGTGGCCGGCACTATCCAGGGTCGTGGGAGCCATCCTCGAACATGCTGCAGCCATCGGCCTGAGAGTGAGAAGGAACTTCCCCAGTTGCGCAGTGTGGTCATACACAGGCGAGAGGCAGTGCAATATGTGCAATATGGGCTAGCAGGCAGACCACTACCGAAAAGTCTAGTGCAACTTAGACTGCGTCGGGTGAGGTGGGTCCTATATCTCCTACGGCGCAGAAGTGCGCCCCATCCTCTCCAGGGAGAGCGCACCCAAGGGTGGTGCAGGAAGCTACCACATTTAAGGAGCGTGGGGATGTACGGGCATGTGCGCAGCTGAGATTCAAGCCTTGATCGGTTGCTCGCGGCAGCGCCTGTGGCATAATGTTCGGAACGGGCGTTAGTAGATCCTAATCCCAAAGTGCAAGGAATCCGGAGGGCTAAGGGGAAACTTGCTGCTTGGAAATCGGCGACGGCCTGGCAGTCGCCTGGCGCGGCAGGCAGCTCCTGAGGCACTCCAATGTGCGACGCTTGACGCAATTGCAAATCAGAAGGCTGCATGCAGGGGCCATGCGGGAGGTTCAACCCCATGCAACGGAATCTAGGGTGGCGGGACTTAAGGCACCAGCTGAGCCCGACGGGCAAAACCTGAGAGTCAATCCCGATCCCAATCCCAATCCCTGTGCACCACTGCATATATGCCATCGAGCGCTTCCTCTCTCGCTCGCACTCCTGTACACGCCCCCGCACAGTTTGGAGCATCGGAGACCATGCGAAGGCTTGTGGTGGCGTGCCCGCCTCGATCATAGCTTCGCCCTCAGCGAGGCGTGCCTCGTATGTTTCCAGCAACGCCACCCGGAATATAACAGGCACCTCCGCGAAGGGCGGAGTTCTGGGGGCAGCCACAGTCGATACCGCCACATCAGGGACCGCTGGGGTGTCGGGTACGTCTGCGTCGACGGCCACCACGGATGTGTCATCCAGGTCTAGGTCCCATGTCGGCGGTACCTCGGTGGTGATCGCGTCGATGGCCTGGCTCTCGGAAGCGGTCACAAGAGGCGGGACGTCGATCCTCCGAGGCTCCAATGCCGGGGAGTCGAGTCGGGGGCCATCCATCCTAGGGCGTTTCTTAGGTCGAGGGCGATCTGCGCCTGAGGTGTCCCGCGAGCCATAGAATGCGGTTTGCTGCTGCTGCAAGGACGGGGGAGAGCCGGCCGGCCAGCTTCGATGCTCAGAAAAGCTCAGATGCTCAGAAAAAGGAGGATCCATGTCCAAAGCTTCGACCTCTGCAAGCTGATCAGGCGTGAGGTCTGTGCCCGGCGTTGCGCCCACGGCTCGCGAATACTCAAGGTCCCATACGCGTCTCGTACCCCCGGACCGTACATCCGATGAAGAGCTAGACCCGAAGCGACCATCAGCCCGCGCCTTTGCATAGGAACGTCCCAACTGTGATGCCAGAGCCATAAAAGCGTCCGGAGCCATCTCTCTCTGCAAAACCTGCCGGTCCGTGGAGTCTGTGCGTGAGACCGTATTGTAGAGTGTGATGGGACGTGTTGAAGCTCCAGCACCGGCGTCCTCGTGTGGAGACTCCATAGCCAGGGATTCCGAGCTAGTACTGTCATCTATCGAGTATACCTGGATGTTCTCGGAGCCCACTGCCTCTAGCTCTGGTCTCCGTCGTGCTTGACGCACATGCCTTGGCGGTCTAGCTGCCTCACGCTCGCCGTCTCGCGGCCTTCTGTGGCGCTGACCTCTGCGCCCTCTCGGTCGACCTCTGGCCATGGTTGAGCGCCAGCAGTCCGCTAAGACCCTGAAGGATTGTGCCTGCGTAGTGTCATCGAGCTGAGTCGGGACCCTACCGTGTTGGAGGTGACAGTGACCGAGGGGCCAAGTTATCAAGGGTTGGGCGAAGTCCGAAAAACCTGACCCGATGCAAGCCCCACTCAGAGCCCGAATGTCCGGCATGACATCGGTTGCTGTGACGCTAAGCATGATATCCTGACACTGTTGGCTGAGACAGGCAGGCAAAGTGCACTGACGACAGTAGATTGCTCCTGCATCAGCCGCGGCGATGCAAGTCGGCGGGCGGCAAGGGGCAAACAGTACCTGCGGATAAGGTCTAGACTCAGGGCAGTGTACCCTAGATGGGGCGAGGCTAAACCGAACCGGGGGGGTGGTGGCGCACACGGCAGGCTGGTGGCTTGGACGGAGGCAACCATGGCAGGCTAACCGAAATGCACGTGTTGACTGAAGCCTAGGAGGTGAGGTGGTAATGTTCTCGGATGGGGCACAGCCACCGGCGGAGGTATACCTACCAGCCGGTACCGGAGTGCACAGACTAATCCATGGAATTAAGGTCCAAGGAGCATCCGGATGTAGTGTCCGAGGTAGGTCGCCGAGGATGTTCCGATACCAACCGCCTGGCGTGGGCTTTTGCGTCCGCCTGGGTCTCCCCCTGGTGTGAGGATCTCGAGGGAGTCGTAGTGAACTGAGTCGGTGGTCGCATGCCTTTGTATCCCAGTGCAAGTCCCTGCAGTTGTCCTGTAGGCCTGTCTGCGGTTCCCCTATCCAACCAGAGCTGTGCCGTGGTGCGTGAACGGTCAGCAATGCCAGAATAAGTCGTAGAAGAAGCCATATAGGCATGCAGAGTGTAACCAGGAGTACAAGTCGTAATGCTCAGTGCAAGTCAGAGGCGCAGGGAGATATGGCGTTCAATCGGTCAACCCTGAACCTAGAGGGAAAGAGGGGGGGGGGGAGAGAGGGAACACACACAACCAAAAGAGTCCCAGGGCACTCGTAACTCTCTTGGGCCCAGACGCTTTTGTTGTTGTTGTGGTGGTGGTGGTGGTGGTGGTGGTCAGTTGTTGTTGTGGGGGTCAGTTGTTGTTGTGGGGGTCAGTTGTTGCTGTGGTGGTCACTTGTTTTTGTGGGTGTCTGTTGTTGTTGATGATGCTTCAAATGATGCTGCTCATGGTGTTGTGACGGTGGTGGTGGTGGTCAGTTGTTGTTGTGATTGTTGCTGTTGCTGTTGCGCTGTTTCCGACCCTGCCCGAAGCTGCGGCCATTGCACGAAGATGAGTCCAGCTTTGGGCGACTGCTTTAAACGTTAGATGCATGCCTTGCGCACAAGTCCATTGTCATGTGACGAGCCGCTGTCTGCCAAGCTTTCCTTGGCTAAGGCCTGAGCCCATTGCATGCTGCCGTGCTGCGTGAGGCTACCCTGCCTCCTCGTGCAGGCCTTGCCCAGCTCATAGCCACTGAAAGATGGGCGAAACTGTGCCACCGGCTAGGCGAATCTTCGATGATTGCACTGCTGGCAGAAGCCAGGGCAGATCCTGAGGCCAGTTCAGTCGGCTTCGGCAGCTCGTTGCATTCGGCGGAGGAAGCAGGTCTGCCTTGAGTTGTTTTGCCGTTGACTTCGCAACGCCCTAGTAGACATAGTAGACCTTCAGAACTGCGCCGCCTGGACAGATGCGGCCTTTTTGCATGGGCTACCGACATATCTTGCCGTAGCACGAGATAGGTGGAGCAACTGTACATTCACTGCTGATGAGACGTGGTGACTCTGCAGCAGCACAGGTGCGAACAAGACAAGGGGTATCACCGCTGTCCCTTCTGATGAGCTCGTCCGTTAATGCAGCTGCCCCAGATGTGTTCATAAAGATTCGCCCATTCAACACTTTGCGTTCTGGGGCATTGTATTGGGATATGCACAGCTCTGGTTTCGGGTCGCCAAAGGGTTTTTTCCGGAATGCAGCGATGGAGCCAACTCAGCTTGCAAAGCCAGCGCGGAAGGAGTTTCCAGAAACTGCTGAAGACAGGTGCAGCCGATGAGTCCACTCCGACAAAGACAGGTCCATATAGAGTCTACTCTAGACCAGTGTTTCCATGAAGGGCAGCCCAACAACGTTCTGAGGTCGCAAGGCATGTCACAAAAGCCTGTCCAAGCTATCGTTCAGCTGTTCGTCAAAATGAGACAGCAGGGCTTGGTTGCGGCTGTTGCATACATGGTGGCTTGTAATTAAGACGCATGCACCTGTGCCCGCAGTTACTTGAGCAGGCTCATGGGTCTCAGAATTCAGAGGGCTCGCACCCTTCATAAGCGTGAGAGAGACATGACCGAAGGCTCCGCACCGAAGCACCGCCTTGCACAACCTGATCGACATCAAGGCCGATCATGGGTTTGTTTGCTGGCGCTTTGCATCATCGCCGTGAGCCCTTCACCACACACGTTAAGCTTAAGCATGTTCGGCATGCTGCGACTTCTATGGGTGCGATGCGTGGCATCGATGGCATTAGCTGCACAGCTTGTTTGCGCAGAGACGCCCCATGCGGCCTCCTTTCCCGTACACCACCGCTGGCTGCTACCTTGCAGTTGTACTCAGGCAGACGTGAACAGGCCCATTGCGCAAGTAACTGAGCTCATGGCTTGCTGGCACTGTGTATTACTGCTTCGTTGTCAAGCAAGGCTGTAGATGGCTGTAGGAGAATTGTAGCTGGTCTTCGGGGGCAGTTTGACGCCAGTCTAGCTCCTACGGTTGTCAGCTGTTTGCCGAGATGCTAAGGGAAACCGAAATCCAAACATCAACTCTGCATTGGGTTCAGTCACGTGGTTGAGGGTTCCGAGGAGAGCGACTTGCTGCAGTTCTGGCAACCGGTACATAAATTTCATTCGTAAAGGGTCCAGCAGCATGCGATTGCATACTCTGGCAGTGTACTGCGACTGCCAACATGCACTACCGCTGGTGTCGCATGTACACTCTGCTTCCAACTTCGGTGTGCTGCTTGTGACTACACCAAGGGGAGACGGCACCCGTCCTCTTCACGCTACGGCCGCGAGCTGAGATTTGAGCAGCAGACACAAGTGAGCAGAAAACCGAAGCAAGCGGAGACATGGGACGGGAAAGCAGGAATGGCGTTCGGAAGCCCCCCTCCGATTTCAAGAACCGGCACAGCGTAGTGAGATAGGAGTGTCGGTTTTTTTATGCGTCGTCAAGGCTGATGCCACAGAAGCATTGCACTTCGCAGTAGGTTTCACGAAACCACACATTGAGTGTTTCTTAAAGTTACCGAGAAGCACGGAACTGCGACTTAATAGTTGCAGAATATTCCGGGCTCAACGGCACAGGAGTACGGTAGTTCGCATCATTTGCACGAGTTGAATTTACTGATTCGCTTCAGTTTGAACAGTGTTTGCACATGTGTCAGCTTTTGCAGCGACTATTGTCCGACAAGTGTGTTATGTGTATGTGTACATACACACACACACACGTATAAACAAATAAATACATGAATATACATATATATATATACATACATAAACATATGAGTTTATGCATTTATTTACTAGTTTTAACGCTACGCCGCCCGCCTCGGGTCCTGAGGTGCAGGGGCCGGATGAAACGGCAAAGCCTTCTGTATCACTCAGGAAATCTGTTCAGGTCGCGGCTATATTGAGATTTCTTTGAGCAGGACTCCCACGATTCAACAGGTGCGGGGGTGCCGTAGAGCTGCTTTTCAGCGAGACATGTCAGCGTGCGGCAACGAGGAACGAACAGCACAAACGCAGATTTTAGGGACGCGCAGCAGGAAACTGGGCACTGGGAGCAGGAAGAAGAGCAGGGAGGGGGGGGAGGGGGGGGAAGGGGAAAACACCCAAAAAGAGCAGAAAAGGAGGGGATCAGGGGGGCAGAGGCTAGAAAATCCGGTAAAATGATGGGAAGCCGGGCAAGGGGGCGGCAAATGAATGCAAAAACCGGGTGCAAACTTTCGGACTGCAGGAGGATTAGGTGGAGGGTACGTGAGGTAACCCCCAAGACGCCTGTGCCTGTGGCCTCGACGGATTCAAGATTGATTTCTTTGTAATTATGCGTAGATGTGTGTGTGTGTGTGTGTGTGCGTGTATATATACGCCTATATACATGTGCACAATAGGGACGGAAGTAGAAAAGAAGAGCCTGCCACACTTAATCAAGAACGAACACCGCCGCAGTGTTACGAGAAAGCTAGTCATGGTGGAGAGGTCCCAATTCCACCACACAGGTCCACCATAACCTTCGGGTTGAAGCAGCCTTGCTCTTGGAACGCCGGGACGCCCAGCAGGGGCCATCGCATCAGCCGCATTAGAGATTCGCAGATACCTTGTTGACGTTCTCTTTTTGTTGGGGCGGGCTGTCCCTCACTGGCCTCGCAGGCGCTGCAGATCCCAATGCGTGTCGGTCTCAGAGTCCTGCCACAGCAAGGAGTGCGCGCAATCATGAGACCTCTCCTCGGCACCACCCTCCAATCAGAAGTCCTCGAACACATCCAGCTAGCTCATGGCTCATGGTTGCAAGTTGACGAGAGGAGAAGCAATGTACGTACACACTGCGCATAGAACTGATGTGTAATTGAAGGCTATCGACCTGAAGCATGGTGTTGGATACCTTTCAGGCCATACATCCGTCAGCACGCACATCCTGACACACCGCATGCAGATTCTGCCTTTTATGGCGAGAAGCTGGCCGCCGTGGGCCACGCATCCATCCGCCTTTGTGCTGCTGCCATGAACCTGTTGAATCTTCTACTGTAGTACCCACTCCTTTTGAAACCTGGCGCCACTCACAGCTCACTTTGGGGCCTCACAGGGCGCACGACGACGGCACTGCGCCGCTGCACCTGGCAGCCTCAGCGGGTCACGACCCTCAGTACAGCTGAGTTCGGCCAAACTTTCATGATGCAGAAGCTTGCCAGGCCGAACTTTAATGTGAACAGATCGTTTGCAACTTATTGAAATCACCCTCATCTCAAAGTTGGTGTATTGTATCACATAGTCTAAGCGCCCGATGTTTGCTCCCTGCCTTTGAAGGGGTTGTCTGAGAGAGGGAAATGTAGCATGTAGCAAGTTCCGTTTGGTCTCTGCCTATCTCCAGTGACCCAGGGTTATGCAGCCCCCTGTCGACGGAGTCTTGTGCTCAAGGATGGTTGCAATGTTCACACCTTCCTTTGGAAGCAAGTGGCAGGTGCTGCGCCCTTCGTTGACCTTCTGTTGAATAGCCGCGGCAGCCTAAGTTCCCACAGTTACACTGCACGCGGCTGTTCTTGAAGCTCAGCTTTTCAGCAGGAGGATTGATACAACATGCAGCTGTACGGGTTGCGCAAGGTTATTGTCGAAGACGATGGCCTATTTCGCTTGCACTGAGAGCCCTGAATACAGTCATACTACACCCCTGGAGGTGCAGATGCGACGGCCACCACCCAGTCCGGGCAGACAGCCCTTGATCTGGCTAGGCAGGGTGGTCAGGGTAGTGCGACCAGTTTCAACGGATCCAAACTACAAGCAAGATCAATGCCAAATTCTTCAGCGGAACTCCCGCAGCACAGCCAGAGCCGTCTTGATTTCCGAGCATGCTTGTTGAGCGCGCCCATGTCGCACCCCGCTCAGGCAACACGGATTTCGTGCCATTGAGGACCGCTTGCGGCAATGACTTGCCATGAACTGATGCGAAGTGCTCGGCCGTCACACAGCCCGCCAATGATGCCGACGCAGGCAGCAGCATTTTGCACACACATTCTGATCATTGTTTATCATTATGCACGTAGTGTATAGGTGCAAGTACATGTCCTTATATGATATGTTGTAAAGAGGTAGCAAACATACACTTGTAGAAAGACGGAGAGCATCTCTTGCTTCTTGGCGGTTTCTTCAATGTTGGAAAATTGCTCCGCCTTGTCCACTGTAAGCCTACGGTGACTCGGCGCCACAAACTGTTTGCAACAGCTACCAAAAGCTTGTAGCTCTGAAAACGCGCCGCCTTGCCACCGCGCCCCTGCACTTGCATCCATCACATACATGTTGAAGGCTGTTTGAGACCATGATTGCTTTCGAGCGAACCCTCCACACCATAGTCTGCCTATGCACACTTCGAAACGGCAACTTACATTCATTGGCTGTGATCCGTTGGGTGAAGAACACATGCTCCGGGCATGGTGAAGGGTGGTAGACTTGGTGAGCTTTCCGCTCGTTTCTCTTGGCTGAGATCGAGCTGCTAACTTACCCATTAAGCCAAGCTTTAGAGAACTAGCCGAGACCCGATGACCCACCTACCGTACTAGACTCACTAGAGTCACTAGACTCTTAAATTCTTGAATAATGATAAGACCGCTTTCCTGTAGGTTAAGGTAGGTTCCTGAATTGCGTGGTTAGTTCTGCACTCTGAAGAAAGCCCATGAGCCGCAGTCGAAGTGTGCTCCTGGCGGGTGGAAAGGGTTTAGGGTTTTAGGGTTTAGGAAGTGGAAAGGCCTTGCGAAGGGGTAAGTTAGGACAGTTAGGGTCCCAGGGTGTTCTGAGGAATCCCGCCTGATCCGCAACGAAGCCATGGCCCTGGCCCCCCGAAATTCGGAGTCACGGCTCTGGACACGGAAGGTGGAGGCTACCCGATGCTTGATTTTTTTTAGATTCTGCTTCGGGTGCAAGCGCAGAGCATTGGCAAGCCAGAAGGAAATGGACGAACGCATGAAGAGCTACTGACCAGAAGCGGAACATAGACGGAATCCTCGTTTCACTATGCAACACCACAGGCCGTTATGTAAAGAACGTCGGGCTGGCACGGGCAGTAGCGGGTTCGGATCAGCTGTGCCGTGAAGGTGGACAAGGAGCGTGGCTTGAGCATCTCCCTCATCGAAGACCCGACCTTGGACCTTGGAGGTAGCGGCGGCGCAGTTGCTGGGCTAAAGCTAGAAAGAGCCATAAAGCGAAAGTTCCTGCGACCCCACACGTGAGCGTGGGTCACGGTTCATGGCTCGTGCTGGCCATGAGGGAATTTCAGGCCCAGCTGGCTGGGCACCTGATCCCC